TAGCCCTGCATGCCTGTGCCTACCTCTGTTTCCCTTTCTGTGGAGGTTTCCTACCTCAGTTTCCCCACCTGCAAAGGGTGATGGCCATGCAAGACCTGCTTAGATTGGCACTAGAGTTTGGTTCAGGTGGAATGAGCTGTGCTGAGCCCCGTGTCTCCCTGGAGCTCAGTGCATCCCTTACCCCATCCTCCTCCTCCTCACCCATACATCAGCCTGACTGGAGCCTGGCATGCTCACACTGCACAGGACATTTGCACAGACCATTTGCACATGGAGTTTCTACAGCCTGGAACCAGACAGATGCCATTCCCTGAGGACCCCATACATTCTGAGTGGGATGTTTGCTGAACCAAGCAAATTTCCTAACCTCTGGCAGCTCACAAGCCCTTGGGGTGCTGCTAGTCTGTCCCCCCACATCCTGGCCTGGCCTCCCGGGGCCAAGACAACTGGGCTGGAGTCAAGGTTGCTTCCTGTTGATGTCCCTTTGTCGGGCGGGACAAATCGGGACAGCAGCCACACTCCTCAAGGATTTCCGTCCCCAGAACATCGTGGCCTTCTTGGAACAGCAGGCTCGGCCACCAGCCTAATGATCTGTCACTAGTTTGTCACTGATTAGTTCACTATTCTAAGAAAGAAGGTGGTGAGGGCTGGGGGTCTCACTGTCACTTGTCTCTAAGCCACGTCAGAGAGGGGGAAAGGGAGCCCCCCCAGCCCCATGTCACTTGTTAGCTCATGTCAGGGAGGGGCACATGGACCCTCCTGCAGCAGCTGCAGGGAAGCTGCTCCGTGGTTAGGAGAATCCCTGCTATGCAGGTGCCTTCACCCCAAAGGACAGAGACATCCTGGCACCAAGCTTGGGGTGCTGGCAGTGCTGGGAGAGAGGTGGCATGATGGGCATTCCTGGGACATGGCATGGCTGGAAAAACTTCCCTGGCACACAGTCCCCTTCCCATCCATGCTGGCTGGGTTTCCAGGACTTTCCTAGATGTTTTCTGATGGATTAGCCATGCAGGGGTCTCTGTGCCTGGCTCTGCTTGGGGCCATCGTGGCAAAGCTCTGGGGATGCAGCCAGAGAGGGCTCTGGGGACCTGTAAGTCCCTTGGGGGGATAGGAATCAGTGGGGTGGGAAGGGGGATGCAGCATTCCCACATCCATCCATGCAGCCCCTCCTGGCATGGCTGGTGCTAATGGGATCTGCACAGTGATTAGGGACCTCATTTATCAGACTCTGATGGGATCTGGGAAAATTGAATTCCTGGCCATCTGCAGCTGGGGAGGAATTCGATTTGGGCAGTGCTCCGGAGCAGGGTGTGGGGGGCTGGGGGCTGCCAGAGCTGCCCCCCCAGGGGATTCCACTCTGTCTGTACAGGGACTGCTCTTATTTTCTATGCCTGAGAGGGTTTGATGGTGGGATGCAGCTCTTAATTGCTGTGAAGGGGGTCTAGGAATTGGGGTGGTCTCACTGCTCAGATGGGGAAATTGAGGCATGGCCAGGAGAAGACCAAAGCCCATTACATGGCAGAAAGGATCACAGGGCTGGTGTTTAATGGGTCAGCACCCTGCCAGGGGTCTGGCCTCCAGCCACCCTTATGTGTGGGGGGTTCCAAAGCTGTGGCCAGAGCATCCAAAGGTGCCAGACACACTGCATCTGCCAGAGCCAGGCCAGGAGCAGTGCTCTCTCCTGCACCAAGAGGAGGGAGATTCCCAGGCATTTTCCACCCCATGGCTCTCTCGGGCAGGTCTCCACCATCCTGTTCCCCACATCCATGGAGTGGCCAGGGTGAGTATGCAGCAGGATCCAGCTGCAAAGGTGCCAGGCCAGTCCCCAAATCCATGGACTCAGCTCCCAGAGGAGCACCCTCCAGAGCCAGGCTTGCAGGGGATCCCAGCCCACCACCTCCCTGCCAAATGTCACAGCTCGACTCCAAAAAGCCAAGGTCACCCACGGGGCCTATCCCATTCAGGGGGAAGATGCCACCATATCATCCTGCAACAGGAGCATTCTGTCCCAGCTCTCACTGCCCAGGATGCAGCAGGACTAGTCCCCTCCAAGTCCTTCTGCTTGGGGTGCAGCAGGAACATCCCCATCCCAGCTCCCCTGCCTGGGGTCCAGCAGGGCACTCCCACTCCAGACCTCCCTTCCCAGGTGATGTCACAAGGCATGAGAGCACTGGAACCCATATCTCAAACCCCACTGCCCCTCAAAAATCAGCAGCAGGGCACTGCAGTGCCAGCACAGGCTGACTCCACACTGCAAGCCTTGATCACTCCTTGATCTCTGATCTGTGGGGATCCCCGGCCTGGCTGGGAAACGCCAAGCTGCACCCAGCCATGCCAGTTTGGGGATCCAGCTCTACCCCTGACCCTGCTGAGCGTGGGAGGAAGCCAGCCCTGCTGCATGTCATGGAAAGAAGCCGCCACGGCCCTTTCCTCCCCTTTATTGCCCTGCTGATGTGTTTGTGTCTGCCAGAGGAAACGCAAGGACAAACGCCCGCGTACACATGTCCCCTCACTGGCCTCAGCAGGCCCTGGGCCCACTGAATGTGGCTGGCCCCACACGGGGGGAAACTGAGGCAGGGGGAGCCCCGTGGTGCTGGCTGAGCCCCCCAGTCCCTGGCAGGTCAGTAAAGGTGCCTGACTGTCCCCCTCAGCCCCTCCTGCTTCTCCAGGCTGTGAACATGTATCAATTACCGTTTGATTCATGATCCAGTCTGCAAGTAATTGCATTGCAGCTCGTGGCAGGGAGGGAGAGGAGGAACAGACATTCTCAGCCTCACCCCACTGCAGGGTGTTGGAGGGGAATAATGCCCCAAGCCCTATATACTCCCCTATATGCCCCCCCAAGCTCGGGAATGGGTGTTCCAGATGCAGTCAGTACCCAGGACACCAAAGGGGACAGGGGTCCTGTGGTATTTTGTGGGGGATGAGCTGTTCCTCATCCACCCTGGGCTGGGATGTGATGGAGAAGGGGCAGGATCCATCCCCACCACTCACTCCTCATACATCCTGGGTGACACCCCATTGCCACTGTGGCCTCACACACTGGGGCTGCATCTCTGCCTCACCATGTGATCCACTCCTCCTCCTCCTCCTCCTCCTCCTCGTTGCCACACTAGCACTGGGTTAAAACCAGCCTGCCCCCCCCCCCCCCCCATACGGGTGCATTTTGTCCCCCCCAGGCTGGGAGTTGTGGCTCCCTGACCCCCCCATCCCCAGATCCCCCTGGGGGGCTTTGTCCGGGGTTCAGAGCCTGCCCAGCTGCCAGCACCCTCCTGGGTCCGGCCCGGTTGGGTTCTGGAGGGCCGGGACCGACAGGGATCACAGGGACCCCCGTGTCACTGCGCTGGGCGGTGAGCAGTGTCACACCCCACCGTCGTGCTGAGCGACACTTCAGATGTCCTCAAGCCGCCACCTTCCCATCCGGAGGGGGAGGGGGGGCTCATTTCCCCCCGGCCCGGGGCACACTGGCCCTGATCAGCTTCTTTCTCTCCGTCAGCAGCTTTCGGCAATTTCCCAGAGAGCGTTTCCTTCCCTTCGTTTCCCAGCTTGGATCTCCAGGTCCTCGCTTCTGTATTGGACCTGCAGCCCCCTGGAGCCCCCCAAGCAGCTGTACCCCCAGGAGGACCAAGGCCACGGTTCCCAAACCCAAAACCATCAGCACACAGGGCAGGGATCCATCCAGGTGAACAGAGGGGAAGAACCCCCCCTCAAGTCACCCCCTCCCCAAATTTTGGCGTGCTCGAAGGCACAGGAGCAGGAGGGACCAAGCGTTTTCCCACCCACATATTGGGATGCAGCCTCCATCTCTACAAAATGTGCCGCTGGTGTAAGGAGGGTGGGGGGCTCAGGGCTGGGTCCTGCTGGGGGAGCTGAAGGGGCTCCGTCCTTCCCAGCACACCCACCCCGAGGTCTGGCGGCAGGATGGAATTCGCAGCCGAGCTCTTGAGGCTCCCACTGCCAGGGGGACAAGGGGACACAGGGAAGGGGGGACTCCAACCCCCCAGGAAACCGAAACCCCCAGGCACTCCCAAGCACATCGCACCCCAAACGCCCCAGGACAGGACGGACCCCCAGCCCGAGGCCGCAGCTCCCCCGGGACCCCCAGGGTATCCCTTTCCCCAGGGTCGCTCACAGTGTCCTGGAGAGTCCCCATGGCGCGGCCCGGCTCCTGGCGCGGCTGCCGGAGGGCGTGAGGGTCCCCCCGGGACCGAGCCGTCCCCCCTTCCCTGCCAGTCCAGCCCATTTCCTCCCGGGATCCCGCCGGGATCCGCACCCCCCAGCCCGCTGCCTCCTCCCTGCGTGTCCTCGAACCTCGGATGCGGTCGGGGCTGGGGGGGAAGGGACGACGACACAAAACGGCACCGTCACCCCCGCCTCGGGAGCCCCATGTGTGCCTCAGTTTCCCTGTCAAGGTCTCCCCGTGGGGTTCAGAGCCCCCCACCGAAAAGGGGGAGACAAGCGGGTGCAGAGGCGCTCGGGAAAGCCCCCTGCGCCCTTGGGAAGGGATGGGGAGTCCGAGCACGGCGAATCGGGAGCCCCGACTCCCAACCCCGCCCCACAGCATGAACACGGGGATCCCCCCCGCCTCCGGGACCGAGCGGGAAGGGAGGCCGTGGGAATGGGGGTCCCGGGTGGGAGAGGAGGTGAGTCGCGTGTCGTGCTTTGGGAGGGGAGAAGGGCTGAGGGTCCCCGGTGGGAGGATAGGGCTTGGGATGGGGGTCCCAGTAACGGGGCAGGTGAATCGGGTGTCCCAGGTGTCGGGGGACGTGGGTGGGGGTCCCGGGTAGGAGCGGAGGGGAGTCTGAGTGCCCGGGTGGGACGGGGCGGGGGAGGGGGGGGGGGGGGTCGAGGGTCCCAGGTGGAACGGGTGATAGCTGGGATTGGGGTCCCGAATGGGAGGGGATGCGGCTGGGGATGGAAATCCAGGTTGAGAAGAGGAGGGTCCCGAGAGGGAAGGAGGTGCGGGGGACCCCTCGGGGTGGAGGTCCCGACGTCCCTACCTGTAGCGCCTCGGGGCCGGGAGCGGCGTCCCCCGCCCGCAGGAACCCGCGGCTGAAAAAGCGAAGGAGCGCGATGAGGAGCCGCGGCACCATCCCGGCACCATCCCGGCACCATCCCGGTCCCGCGCACCCCCGCACCGCCCGCGGGCTGCGGGCACGCCCCCGCCGCGACACGCCCCGTCACGATACGTCCGATCGCGACACGCCCCGCACCTGCTCTGCGGGGCAGCGGCTCCGCGGGGCTCCGGGAAGCGAGGATGGGTGGGGGCTGTGGGGTGGCCAGGGGATCGGACATCGCTCTCCAACCGGGCTGGGGGTTCCCGGGATGGGGCGGGGGTCGAGAGGGTGGTCCCGATGTGGGAATTGGGTCGGGATGTCACTCCCCGGAATTGGGAGGGGGTCAGGAGTGGGAGTCCCGGTGTGGGGTGGTGAAGGGGGTCAGGAGTGGGGCAAGGGAGCCCGTGTGGGGAGAGGATGAGGGCATCGCTCCCCAGTTCGGGTAGCTCCGCTCTGGAGCGCGGGGCTGGCAGTGCTTTCTTTGCGGGGCAGGTGCCGGGGGTGCCGTCACAGGTCTGGTATCTGGGAGGGCGACAACCTCCCTCCGTGTTAAACCCTCCCCTCCTGGGGGTCGGGCCAGGAGTTTCCCCCTTGCTCCTTCTCCCTTCTGGGGCATGTTTCACCTCCCAATAAAGAGACCCCTACCCCCTTAAAGGCTACGCCTCACGTTTGGGTTGGGACGGTCTTCCCCTCATCCTCCCTGACAGAAGGGCTGAAATCTCATCCCATCCCTCGTCCTGGGGTAACTCTGATGCAGGGCTCAGTAGAGAAAGTCTTCCCTGCCCCCCATCCTATAGGGTACTGCAGGGGTGTATATCCAGCGCCCCTCTCTTGGATAGGGAGGGACCCTCATCTTGGGGACCCCTTATAGGGTCTGTTCGCCCCCACCCTCCTATATTAATCCCCGCACTGCCTTCAGTGAGGAGTGACACCTCCTCCCGGCCCCCCGGCCCCCCGGCCCCCCGGCCCAGGATAGTACAAGGATTTCGGGATGCTGCCCCTACCCCAATGGCCCCAGGGAATCTGCACGGAGGGTGGACGTGCTCAAGCCGTCACACGATGGCCACATGCCACACGGTGAGAGGGATATCGGCAGTGCGACAACCTCCATCCCTCCCCCTCCTCCTCCTCCTCCTCCTCCTTCTCCTCCTCTGGGCAGAAGAGAAGGTTCTGGTCTGGGGGAGGATGGGCCTCTTCCCAGATCCTGGGACTCCCGTTCCCCCAGGCACTCCCATGTCCCTGCACCCCTGTATCCTTGCCCCTCCATGTTCCTGTGTCCCTGCAGTCCTGTGACCCCCTCCCTACCCAGGCACTCCTGTGTTCCTGCACCTCTGTGTCGCTGTCCCCAGGGTGCTCTTCAGGGACAGGGTGCTCTGAAGCTTGCCTGGGGGTTTGCAAAGGACTCCTCGCATGATCTCTCAACCCTCGCTAGGACAAGTCGTGATAAGGAAATGCCACCTCGAGGCAGGGGCCAAGCAGGGTAGGGTTAGGGACACCCTGCATGCTGCACCCTCCATCTCACTCCCTGCTCCCAGACCCCCGGGACGCCAGGCCGGGGAGCCGGGGGGAGGCTCAGGATGGGCCATGGAGCCCGGAGGAGGCTCAGGGTGGGCCGGGGAACCCGGGGGAGGCTCAGAGTGGGCCATTGAGCCCGGAGGAGGCTCAGGGTGGGCCGGGGAACCCGGGGGAGGCTCAGGGTGGGCCATGGAGCCCGGGGGAGGCTCAGGGTGGGCCGTGGAGCCCGGAGGAGGCTCAGGGTGGGCCGTGGAGCCCGGGGGAGGCTCAGGGTGGGCCGTGGAGCCCGGGGGAGGCTCAGGGTGGCCCGTGGAGCCGCGGGGCCATCTAGCGGCCAGAGCCACCAGGAGCTCCCGGCCGATCCCCGACCCTGCCGCAGCAGCCCCGGCCGCCCGCTGGTCCTGCCCTGCGGGTGACACAGGGCCAGGGCGTCCCTCGCCGGGAGTGGCACAGGATCATGGATACCCCTCAGGGCAGCGTCTCACAGCGCCCATCTTTCCGGCTAGGACACCACCAGAGCCGCCAGGTCCCCAAGATCAGGGTGTGGAATCCCCCTGCTCTGGGGTGACCCTGCTGCAGGTGTGACCAAGTGTCACCCCAGCCTGGACAGGCCCTGCTGGCACGGATGTGGGTCCAGGAATCCACGAATAAAGGAGGTGGGAATAGCAGGTTCCCTGTGGGGCCAACAGTGGGAACACCCCAAGGAGCTGGGTGCTGGCAGGATCCATGTCCTGCCACCTGGCACAACCCTGTCACCAGAGCCACCCACAGCAGCTCGCAGCCAGCACAGCTGCCCAGGGAACACAGAGGCATTGCTGGGCACAAGGACACAGCACGGAGCTGTCCCTCGGGCTCGCCCACAGGTGCCTGGGGACAGGGGCTGCAGGGACACAGGGGGTGGGACACAGGGGTGCAGGGACACAAGGGAGCAGGGACATCAGGGGAGAGGCTGGGGGACAAGTGGTGGGACACAGGGCACAAAGGCCTGGAGACAGAGAGGGAGACACAGGGACACAGGGAAATGGGACACAGGGACATGGCAGTGTAGGGACACAGGGGCATCTGGGAACAGGGGAATGGGACACGGGTGCAGGGATGCAAGGGTGCAGGGACTTGTGCTCCATCACCACCGTTTCATTCATACATCATTGCTCATCTCCCAGTCAGTCCCAGAGTAATTATGAGCTGATCCCTGGCTTTTCTGTGTGCCCCAGGAATGGCATTCCTTGGATGGGAACATCACAGCAGTCAGATGGACACACACAGCCTCAGAACCCAGCCCTGGAGCTGCTGGGGAATATCTGTAGGTGCTGAGGAGAGGCAGCAGTGTGGGCTTCCCAGCTGGGCTTCCCACATTTCCATCCATCCTGCAGTTTTCCCTTGTTCCTGGCCTGAAGTGGATCAATCAAGTACTGTGCCTCCTGTCTCTTCCTAGGAACTGGGGAGTAGCCACGCCGCATCCCATCTGGAGGGCGTCTGATGGCATCAGTGGGAATAAAGTTCATGCAGGCAAGTAAATATTAACCTTTTTTATTCCATGGTAATGGAATATTCCACACCAAAGACACTCACATAAACCCCACTCTAGCTTTTCTCTGGGAGGTGCTGGCAGCAAATGGTACCAAACTCCCAAAGTTGAAGATTTTGGGGGGTTAAGGCACCAAGATGAGCCTTCACACCCTGTGTAACCCTGAGATCCCATTTCTCCCCATCTGTGAATCATCTGTGGGCACACTGGGAGTGTGGGATATCCTGGGAGCACTGGGATGGGAGAGCAGGGCAGGAGGGCAGCATGGCTGGCTGTTCCCAGCTGGGCCAGGACTGCTGTGAGCCATGTAGGATCAGCAGTGCTCCACTAAACCGTGGCACCAGTACAGACCCAGGGCTGGATGCTGGATCTGGGGAGGCACAGCACTGTGCTGCCCTCTGGAGCATCCCAGTCCTCTGGGGAAGGAGGGGACACAGTGGCCAGTGCAGGTGGCACATGGGGCTGGGGTCCTGCCCTTTGAACAGAGATGACTGAGACTCAGCTGAGCCTGGGGGACACGGCCACGAACGGAGCTGCTGGATCTGTGAATGAATTGGGGTGTTATTGTCTGGAGCTGCTGGCACAAGGTACACTGGCAGCTCTAAACCCCACCAGAAATCAATCCATCTGCTCTTCCTCTCTGCACTAATCCCCACAATGGCACCCAATCAATATCCCATTTACTGCTCTGTGGTTTCCCCATGGATACATCCCACTCAGTGCCCAGGATGCAGCTGCAGTGCCCGAGTGGGGCAGGGAATATGGCAGGGCAGGGAATGCTGTGGGACAGGGAATGCTGTGGCATCCCTCATCTGAGCAATGGGCACAGGCTGGGGGTGCTAGAAGGTTCCATGGCATCAGGTGAGTTCACTGCATGGACCTGCTGGGAGCAGCAGGAGAGTTGGGAATGCTCAAGGAAGAGATGAATGATCTCAGGCTGGACAGGGAGGGGGTGTCCTGGCATCAGCTCCCCAGTGGGGATGGCCCCCAGAGGTGCCAGCTGCAGAGACCTGGTTGCATCAGCTCTGGGGCTTGGGCTGTCATTGGATTCAAAGCAGGATAACAAAGGGATGAGGAAGGAATGAGGAAGTCCTGAGCCTTTCAACGTCTTTATAAATGACTTGGACACAGGACTGGAAGTTCAGACTAAGCAAGTTCACAGACAATAAAAAACTGGGAGGGGCTGCTGACAAATTGGAGATTGGACAATTGCCGAGTGTGTGAAGTTCAACAAGGATTCTGGATCTGGGATGAGGCAACCCTGGTGCACACACAGACTGGGAAATGATTTGCTGGAAAGCAGTGTGATGGAAAGGGACCTTTCCATGACAACAGCAAGTTGGACACAAGTCACCGGGTCACACCCGTGTCCTGGGCAGCACCAGGCCCAGCATCACCACGGAGCAAGGGAGGGAATTGTCCTGCTCTGCTCTGCACCGGGGCAGCCTCACCTCGAGTGCTGGGGGCAGTTTTGGGCATCACAAAGTAACTAAGACATTAAAGCCACTAGAGAGAGTCTAAAGAAACGCCGTGAGGGTGGTGAAGGGCCTTGAGGTGAAGCTGTATGAGGAACAGCTGAGGTCACTTGGTCTGTTCAGCCTGGACAGGAGGAGACTGAGGGGAGACCCCACTGCAGTTACAAATTCCTTGTCAGGGGAACAAGAGGGGCAGGCACTGACCTCTGCTGTCTGGTGACCAGTGACACTCCCAAGGGAATGGTCTGAAGTTGTGTCAGGGGAGGTTTAGGTTGGATATTAGGAAAAGATTCTTCACCCAGAGGGTGACTGGACACTGGAACAGCCTCCCCAGAGCAGTACCAAGCCTGAGAGTGTTCAAGCAGCATTTGGACAGTACTTTTGGGCATGTGATGTGACTCTTGGGGATGGTGCTGTGCAGGGTCAGGAGCTGCATTTGATGCTCCTTGTGGGTTCCTTCCAACTGAGCAGATTCTG